CACAGAGCCGGGGTGGCTGGGGCTCGGCCTGCCTAGGTTTCAGCCCCACAGTGTAACAGGCAAGGGACTGAGCGGCTGGGTGAAACGGAACAATCGTGCCAGCCTCACAGAGGGAGCTGGAGGTGATTTATTGGGTGGAAAGGGCCAGCTCAGGATTAAGCCTCAGTCCTCTGTGGTGGAGGGTCAGGAGGGGAGCTGTGTGGGGAGGTTGGTTGAGTGCTCGGAGCCACCTCCTTAAGGGAAACGGGAGGAGCAGATGGGACATCCGGCTTTGACTCTCTTGACAACCCCTTTCCCAGGGAGTGAGCTGGTACTACTGGAAGGGCTTCGAGTTCTCGGTGCCCTTCACGGAGATGAAACTGAGACCAAGAAACTTTCGCTCCCCAGCCGGGGGAGGCTGAGCTGCTGCCCACCTCTCTCGCACCCCAGTAAGACTGCCGAGCACTGAGGGGTCGCCCCGAGAGAAGAGCCAGGGGCCTTCACCACCCGGCTGGTGGAGGAAGCCTTCTCCGCCAGCGATCTCGCAGCACTATGTTTACAGTGGGGGGAGGGGTTCGTACGGGAGCAATAAAGGAGAAACTGAGGCATGCGGCTGGCATCCGTCCTGCTCCGTCACTGGCTCTGGCCCAGGCTGTGGGCCCCCAACTCCCGGGGCTGCAGCCGCACTTGGAAAGGCTGCATCTTGAGGATGACACTGCAGTGGGGCAGGGGCTGCAGGGAGGGCAGGGGGTCCCCTGGGGGCAGCAGCGTGAAGGCCTGCAGCAGTCGGGTCAGCACCACGAAGAGCTCCAGGCGCGCCAAGGGCTCTCCCAGGCACACACGCGCCCCGCAGCCGAAGGCCAGCGCTCTGGAGTTCTTGCCTGGCTCCAAGAAGCGATCTGCGGGCGGGTGGACAGGTGGGTGGGGAAGCGTTCAGCGGCTGCGGGGACCAGCCTCCGCCACCATTTCACAGCAGGCCCCTGGCCCCCCACATACCAGGCCAGAACTCATGTGGCCTCTCCCAGACCATCTCATCCAGGTGGGCGCCTTGGAGGTTCGGGATGATGACTGTGCCCTCAGGGATGTCATAGCCGGAGATGCTGAAGGGGGCTGGAGTTAGCGGCCGGCCAGGACCTCGCTGGGACCAGGCTTTCCTCACTCATCCCCAACCCTCAGGAGTCACCTGCTGGGCCTGGATACATTTGTAATAGGCAGGCACTAAGTTGTCCTCCTGCCAGAAAAGGAGGGCGTGCTTTCAGTTCAGGACAAGGAGAGGCTCAGGGAGGGGCTGGGGGTGGCCGGAGGGGCTGTGAGCCACCTTGATCTTGTCTCCAAAGGTGAGGTGACAGATGATGCTGCAGGTGAGGAGAGAGAATTCCTCCTCAATGGCCACAGGGGTGCCGGCCTGGGCTCTCATGCGCTGTGGAGAAGGAACGGGAGCTCAGCAGGCCAGTGTGCAGCGGGCAGGGCGGGAGCTACTTCGAGAGGTGAGGTTGACCTGAGGTGGCCTCGGGAGCCCAGCCTTACCTCGCAGAACTCCTGGGTCAGCTGCTCCACCACGGGCTCCATGGAGTCACGCATGCCCAGCAGCAGGGCTGAGCGGGTGAGCTTCTTGTGGGCTTTCCAGAGCAGAGAGTAGTCTCCCAAGGACAGATCCGGGTAGTTCTTAGACACCAGCTTGTCTGCAGGAGGAGTTGGGGGCTGGAGGGTGGGAACTGGCCAAGGAGGCCAAGGGCCTGACCTTCTTCTGCCTCCCCAACCCCTGCTTCCTCCCCCCAAGATATGCCCCCCAACAGCCTCCAGGGACCTGGATTGGGGGAGCCCCCAAAGGTGGCTCCCACTTGAGGCTGAGGTAGGAGGATCACTTGAGACCAGGAATTCAAGACCAGACTGGGCAACATAGCAAGACCCCATTTCTAAAATTTAAAAAAAAAAAAAATTTTAAGAAAGAAAAATTCCCCCAGCCCTCACAGGTAAGTGGCTCAGGTCTGCCAGCAAAGTCTGCCCACTTTTTGACCATGGCTTCCTCAATGGTCCTCTTGGAGTTCAGCACCACCACATCTGGGGGACAGCCAAAGCAGCGTCAGCGGAGGGAGAGGACCCTCTCCGCCCCCTCCGCCCTCCTATGGTGAGGGCCAGAGCGAGAACAGGCTCTCACCTTGCAGCCCAAGGTGGAGCCTATAGATGGGCCCGAATTTCTGAGCCAGGCCAAGCAGATAGATGGGGAGGTCGTGCTGCAGCAGGTGCAGGAAGCCCGGGACAAGAGGCGGGAGGTGGAGGCTCCTGAGCTTCCAGCAGTTCCACAGCAGGCGGGTGCCAGCCAGCAGGGGAAGCAGCAGCAGCAGCCCCAGGAACAGCATGGCAAGACGCCCGTCAGGGCCCCGAGGGGCCACTTATAGCTCTAGAGCCCCGGCCATCCCTCCTGCTGTGTAGACTGTTTTGGGGCCTCCCTTGACCCCACCTTCGGGTCCCTTCCCACTGTCCCGCCCACAGAGTGGCCCTTTACTGGAATGGGACCAGTCTCATTGGCCTTGGGACATCCGTATTTCAAAAAATGGATCATCCATCAAGAAGCAAGGAAGGGAAATGCAACCCTGACCTTTTTCCTGCAGGCAGAGTCAGCTTTCTGGCTCCACATCAACTGTGCAGGCAACGGTGTCCGCCCCCACCTGGGCCCTCTCCCTCTGCCGCCCCACTGTGGGCCAGTTTACTGGCATGATGTTTGTCTCAGCGAGAAAATGGCAGTCCTGCCTAATATGCCTTCCTGAAGAACGAAATGTGATTTGTGTGGGTGTTTTGTTAGTTTAACCTACAGATAGAGGAATACCGCTAAAGCCTGGTTTGCCTGGGGCATTCCAGTGTACACAGTGTGATTGCTATTAGTGCCTCCTTTCACTCTCAAAAGTGCCCAGAAGACCAAGAAGGAGGTGGTTTCCCGCTGCGGGGTACTCGCATGTACCAGACGCTGTTCTAAGCACTTTGGGGGCACTAACTCAATTCTTCACAGATACGCTCTATATGCAACACGGGTGTCGTTCGCATGTTGTGGAGGGCAGGATTCCAGCCTGGAAATCTAGCTGTAGAATATGTACCTTTAGCCACCAGGAGCACCTTTCTTTGGTTGAAAGGAAAACAGACCACCTTGAGCTGGTTTGAGATCAAAAGTAAGGATTGGGGAATTTCACAGAACTCGGGAATAAGAAAGCAGGGGAGGGGACTCCACTGGCCTTAGAAAGCCAAGGAACAGAAAAAGCCTCGGAGACGGGCAGTTTCCTCGCGCTGTTTCTCTCTCCTCTTTCTTCTCTCTGCAGTCAAGTTTCTTGTGTTTCCAGGCACAGGCAGAACACGACTGCCCTCGGGACTAGAGTCCACAGGTTTTAGGTCCAGCCAGGGAGAGTGTGGATTCCCAGCACACCTGGGCATGCCCCCCTCAAAGTCCAAAGTCCCCAGGAAGGGGCTGGATAGCCACAGCTGGATCAGGATCAGGGGTCCAGCCCTATTTGGGGAACTGAAGCCATAAGGGGTGGGGGTCACACTGAACTGTGATACTCAGAGACCACTTTTGTGGGTAGGGAGGCAGTTTGGGGGTTTGGGAAGAGGCCATGCCAAAGAGGAGTGGCAGGGTTCAGTGAGAGGCCAGGGCCTCCTGGATGGTACGTGAGTGGTCAGAGGCGACCCAGGCCCATGCCTTCCCCCCCATTTCTGGCTCTGTAGCCAGACCCAGGGAACAGTGGGGATCTCTGTCCCCTCAGAGCTTTTCCAGACTGTGCTGCTGCAGAGCCGGAGTCAAGATCCTGGCTGTGCCACCCACTACATTGGTGAGCTCACTGCTGCTGAATCCACGATCAGGACAGAGACGGAGGAAACAGGATTGGGATTTCTGGGGTTGGACAATGACAGCCACTGCCTTCTTCATGTTGACCTCCCAGACAGGGCCATGTCTTGCTGCAACTGAATCCCTGGCTCTGGAAAATGGGCTTGTGCCACCACCATGGTGACCAGCTATTGGGAGAAAGATTCAATGGTCAACCATAGGCCACGTATGCGAGAGCCTCAGGAAACGTCTGCCACAGTGGGAAAGGTCCAGACTTCTCAACGTTCCATGGGATAAGAGAGCGCTCATCGGAAAGGAGCTCACCTGGAAGGCTGGCGTGCTTACTACTTGTCTCACCATCTCCATCTCTTCCACCACTTTCAAATCCAAACTCCAAATGTGGTCAGTTACATGCAATGTCCCCAAAGGTACCCTGTTCTGCCCCCGGCCTCCGGGCCTTTGTATATTCTCTTTCTGTGCCAGATGCTCTCACCTACCCCTGCTCTTTGCCTGGCTCCTTCTCAGTCTTCAGAGCCCCACTTGGAGGCCACCTGCTCCAGGAAGCCTTCCCTGTCCCTGCCCGGCAATGCCCCTGACTTGGTTAGATGCCGCACAGGCCCGCACTGCTCCCTGACATCACATCTTTCACAGAGTTTGGGGACTGCCCGTCCGCTTATCTGTCTCCCCAGCGATGAGCCCTGCAGTGAGTAAGTAGCTGTCTCTGTGGCACCTGGCACAGGGCATGAAGTGAAAGTTTCCCAAATTTCTGTTGAATGACTGGATGGCAGGCTGCTGAACTGTTGTGACCTCTACGGAAACTGACTCAGCAATCTTCTTTGGACACATTTCGGAGCCATCTCTGAAGACCCCAAGTGTGCCACTAAATGGGGGTAAGCTAGGCAGGCAGGGTGTGGAGGGTGGACCCCAGGAGAACTGTTGCAGGAAGTCAGGGACCCCGAACAGAGGGACCGGCTGAAGCCACGGCAGAAGAACATAAATTGTGAAGATTTCATGGACATTTATTAGTTCCCCAAATTAATACTTTTATAATTTCTTACGCCTGTCTTTACTGCAGTCTCAAAACATAAATTGTGAAGATTTCATGGACACTTATCACTTCCCCAGTCAATACTCTTGTGACTTCCTATGCCTGTCTTTACTTTAATCTCTTAATGCCATCATCTTCTTCGTAAGCTGAGGAGGATATATGCCGCCTCAGGACCCTGTGATGATTGTGTTAACTGCACAAACTGTTTGTAGAGCATATGTGTTTGAACAATATGAAATCTGGGCACCTTGAAAAAAGAACAGGATGACAGTGACGTTCAGGGAACAAGGGAGGTAACCTTAAACTGACTGCCGGTGAGCAGGACGGAACAGAGCCATATTTCTCTTCTTTCAAATGCACATAGGAGAAATATCGCTGAATTCTTTTTCTCAGCAAGGAACATCCCTGAGAAAGAGAATGCACCCTGAGAGTAGGTCTATAGATGGCCCCCCTAAGGCGACCACCTTTTATGGTCGAAGCTGAAGGGATGAAATAAGCCTCAGTCTCCTGTAGCAATCCCAGGCTTATTTAGGACAAGGAAATTCCCGCCTAATAAATTTTGGTCAAACAGGTTGTCTGCTCTCAAACCCTGCCTCCTGATAAGATGTTATCAATGACAATGCATGCCCGAAACTTCATTAGCAATTTTAATTTTGCCACATCCTGTGGTCCTGTGATCTCACCCTGCCTCCACATGCTTTGTGATATTTTATTACCTTGTGAAGCATGTGATCTCTGTGACCCACACGCTATTCGTGCACTCCCGTCCCTTTTGAAATCGCTAATAAAAACTTGCTGGTTTTATGGCTCGGAGAACATCACAGATCCTGCCGACATGTGATATCTTCCCTGGACACCCAGCTTTAAATTTCACTCTCTTGTACTCTTTCCCTTTATTTCTCAACCCAGTTGAGACACCTAGGAAATAGAAAAGAACCCACATTAACCATCGGGAGTGGGTTGTCCCAATAGAGAACAGCAGCTTCCTCAGAGGATTCACAAACAGCACAGTCAGACTTTTGGCTTGTTTGAAACCAGTAACTGGAAGAAGACACTACCGGACCTGAGGATCGCACAACTCCGGGAACGTCACCTCACGCCACTGATAACAACCAAGCGTCACGAGGCTTTCAATGGCCCAGAACTCAGCCAAAATCCACAGACCTCTGAACCACCAGCAGCACGAGGACAGAGTCGGGGAGGTGTGGCTGGACAACACCTCATGAGGCAGAAGAGCTGTGTCAGAGGTGTCAGCTGAGCACAAGCCCTGTCTGAGGCCGTGGTGACTGGCTACAGCCGGGCAGTGGAGGGCCTTGGAAGCTGAAGGGTGGCCTTGGCATGGACTCTGGTCCTTGGGGGGCAGGCTCTTGGGTCCCAGTTCTGCTCGGGGTGGTCCTGTGAAGCACTAGACTCCTAGCGGGTGGTCATCAGGGAGGGTCTGACAGAGCTGGACAGCCCAAGGGTCATCAGGGCTCAGAGGGTCTGAGGTTATGTCAACCTGGCCTGCCCCAGAACTGCAATGCGGAGGGGCACTGCTCTCGGCCCTAGCGACACACACTGACGCTTTGCTGCCAAAAACCTTTAATATGCCCTGGTCCCAGGCTGTGTTCAGCAAAGCGGAGACAGCAGTGCTTCCAGCTTCACGGTTCCCAGGCTCAGGTTCCTCCCGGGGGAGGCGGAAGGGCAGCCCTCACACCTGGCACCCCTGAGTGCCATATTCCTGGAGGAAGTCATTGAGCTGTGCGCAGGCTGCCCGCAGGCGGGTACTCCGGCACTGGCGTTCAGAAGGCATCTCCTCGATCCAGCTATTCGAGTCCAGCAGGTACTGGGGGCTGCAGGGGGGAAAGGGGCATTCAGCAGGGCTCGGGAGGATGGCAGTTGGGAACAGAGAGCACAGGCATCTGGCTTCTGAAGGGCAAGGCCTAGGTGGCGAGGCATGGGGAGCGCAAGAGACTGAGGGGATCAGATGACTCACTGTCCCTTGAGGTCATAGGTGGCCCCATCCAGACCCATGATCAAATATTCTCTCCCAGGTTCCAAGCGAAGGCGGCAAGACGCTCGAACCAGGAAGTTGCGCGTCTGATTAACAGTGGCCTTGACATCCTTGGCTGCGGGGATGACGTGCACAAAAGGGGTCAGAGAGGAAGAGAAGGTGCAGGGCGAGCCCAGGCCAGCAGCTCTGTGTAGCTCCTCTCATTCCACCTTCACCGCCCCCCCAGAGAGATGCCACTGCCTCCCTATTCATGGCCAAGCCCAGGGCTTCTGACACGCCGAGGGGATTTTCACACTTCCAGATGGTCAGGTCCTCAGCCAGACCTCAGCCTCCCTGTCTCCCCCCAGCCCTGCCCGCCTCTCCGGTTCGCTTCATACTGAAGTGCAGGACTTGGGTGATCTTGGTCTCAAAGAGGCGGAAAGCCGCTCTGCTGTCTTCTCGAAGAACCTTAACCTGGAAGCCTAAGAGGGGGTTAGGAGAAGGGAGAAAGGTGAGTTACTTTCAGGCTGAGAGGGCAGGAAGTTGGTGTCAGAGCAAAGAGGCTGCCTGCATGACCTGTAAGAGGGGCAGGCTACACCCACAGAGGCCAAAACAGCCAGTCCCCAAGGGAGGGTCAGGCCAGGGCCTCGGTGGGAAGACTGACCGTACTCCACACGGGGGTAGTAGCAGGCAAACTTCATCCTGTAGCCATCCTCGTCCTGCAGACCCCGCTCCAGGGCGCGACGCTGGCGAGGGCACTTCCCTGAAGTCGGGGGCCCCATCAGACAGTGTGGGGGGTCCCCGGCCATCTCGCCTCCACTGCCCCGCCCCAGGCCCTCAGTCTCACCCTCAGCACACTGGCAGACTTCAGCAGAACACAAGGTGGCCAGGAGTCTGCTCTTACTTGGTGCCCCATAAAACACAGAACATCTGCGCTCTGGAGAACACAGAGGAGTTAGGGCACGGGTCCCTCTGTTCTGCCTCCTCAGTCCCAGGGAGCCCCAGCGCTTTCTGCCCCCCACACTACCCCAG